GAGCGCCAGCAGAGACAACCTGCGGCAAGCCAATGCCGCCGAGAAGGAGGCGAAGCGCCGGTCCTACCCGCTCAATGTGGCCAGCCACAACGGTGGCCTCAAGGGCAGCAAGTACGACATCAACCTGGCCAGCGCCGACAGCGTGGCTGGGATGAAGACCGGCCTCTGGAAGAGCGAAACCACCGTATAAAGGTGGGGAAGGACCAGACGGCCGCAGCGCCGCAGCATTTTCCTCCAGGAGCCACAGTTGGAGCCGCTCGGGGCACCTGTGAGGAGGCGATGCTGCGGGAATCGCCACGTGCACTAGTGGGGACAGGCGGCACGGCCAGGGGCTCCGGCTCACCAGTGAGCTTGGCAATGCCGAGCCCGACCCGTCCCCCCAAGGAGGCTCAAAGCTTCCCGTTGCGGCGCTGGGGTCTCGAGGTGAAAGGCACTCCGTGCTCTTCAGCAGCCTGAATTGCAGCCGTACTTTAATCACTCCTGCATGTCACTTAAGACTGATCCTAAATGCTATTTTATAATATACAGAGGAAACAAATGTCTATTTTTCAAAGCTATATTATTGAATGTATATATGTATAGACAGATCAGTAAGTGATGCGAGTGCCTCGTTACCGACCAGTGTTCTCCAGGAGTGGGCATGCCCCCAGGCGCTTTGGCAATAGCCCGCTCGTGCCGCGACTGCAATATTCCCGCCGAGGGGACTACACTGGGCGCCTGTGCGATCCCAGCCTGAGCAAGCTGCTTTTGAGAGAGTCAGAGAGCAGCTTCTCCATCTGAAATGTTTTTTTACATGCAAAAGTTTTTATCCGCGTGTGTTAGACGCCAGTGTTTAGCCCTGTGGGTTACGCGGCTGCCAAAGGAAAAGCCATATCGCAAAGCAAGCACGAGGTAAGAGCAGCCTCAGCTCAAGGCGAGGCGATTGTCTGCACTGTTTTAACGCCAGACACTAAAATCATGGCCAGAAAAGACTCCCAAGCCCTCGGAGGTCTAAGCTATGCAATGGGGTGGGCTGGCGGAGCCACGCCGCTGCCAGGGCCAAGACTGACCCTCTCTGGCAAAGCACCAAAGAGCCGAGCCGTGGGCAGAGACCCAAAGCAGGTCCTCATCTGTAACCCAGGGGTGCACGGTCAGAAAATACTTGGGTTTGCTCTTAGGGAGGCAGAGAAACCCCCCGGCTACCGGCCTTGCACTCGTGTAAGACGAGAGGGAAGCGTCAGGGAGCAGGGGCCATTCCTGGGAAAGTGGGAGAATGATGCCAATTAATTAGGGACCTTCCTTGGACAGTTCACATGATGCATTCAAAGGGCTGGAACTTGGATAAGCACTTATTTTTTCCCCATTTAAAAACAAGTCCCCCCTTTTTTCAAGCCTGCAGATAAAAAAAGCCACCCTGCAGGCAGCAGCAGGCTCTGGGAGCCTTCCCCTGCCAGGTCTTGAAGGTTTCCTGAAACAACAGGAGGTTGCGTACCCCGCAGCCGGGCAAGGAGCACCCCGTCCCTGTGCTGGTACCGTACCGTGCTGCCCGCTCCTGCCCACGCTGGACCGGGGCTGCGTTTCACCCCTCATCCGGCGTTGAGCCCGGCTGACGCCGATCACAGCCGTAAGAGCGAAGCAGAGGAGGTGAGATGGGAGCCTGGTGCCTTCTCCGCCCTTTCCAGCCTCCCCCTGCCTCATTTTTCTCCTGCGTACAAATGGGTTTCATTATTTAGCTACCTCCCAAGGGGTCCGAAGGCCAGGCAGGGGCCAGCGGGGAGGGAGAGCCACGAGGCAGCGGAGAAAAAGCACTTAGTGGGGGATTTGTCTCACCTTCAGAAACCCTGGGGGAACCCTCACCCCTGGGCTTAACGCAGCTCTGCCGCTCCCCGCCTGCCTCGACTTCTCTGCCCAACCGACGGCTTAAACCACGTTCCATTACGCCTGGTATTTCATACAATTGAAATCCTTATTGTTGATACCGCAGCCTGCGCGGTCTTGCTGACGCTGAGTTGTTATATATGCTTGCTGCACTGTGACAGTATTATATAAAAAGCTTTGTATTATTAATTACACTTTTTTTTTGTCTGTTTACATTACAAGCAAATGACATATCAACAGAGAGCTTCTTGCAATATACGTGGGGGAGGGAGGAGAAAGTATGCCAAAGAAATGTCTTTAAAGGGCTCTTTTTGCATTTTTATATAAATAGAATGTTTCTAGCAGATATGTTTTGTTTAATATATTAAAGATTTGCCAATCTGCCAACATCTACTGTTATTTCTCACAGACTTTGCGTTCAAATACAGCAGACGGCCAGGCATGGAGAGGGCAGCAGCACTGTGCACGCGCAATCCAGAGCTGCGCCTTTCCCACAGATTTCCAGCAGCTTCACATCCCTTAATTAACCAAGGATGGGGTAGTTTTCTCTCAGCAAGTTAAGGTGTCTCCTTGACCCTCACACACCCATTCTGTCAAAGGAGGTGAAGCACAAGGAGGTGAAATGGTTCCCGGAAAAGCTGGAGCAGCGCTACGGAAAACCAGCACCAGTTGAAGGTGCTGGAGACCTTCCCCTGGGCATCGCCCCCGCCGTAAGCCCACGGGCTCACCAGACTCGCTCGTGATGCCGCCCCGCAGGACTGGGACTCACCAAAACGCCTTTTACCAGAGGCTGCAAAGAGAGAGAATCCAGAAATCAGTCCTGGCACCTGCGCTTTTGTTTATTGCTAACAGAAATGTCACACAACCCAAAGCAGTCACTCCATAAAAAGCCCCATTTCGGTCCAGAACGTGAAAGGGGACATTGCCCCCTCCCTCCCCACAACCCCGCTCCCGTGCGCGACTGTCCCTGCAGCGTGCGATGGCTCCGTCACCGTCGGGTTTCACGCTTTTGGTCCCACAGTCCCTGCTGCCCCGGTGCCTCTGGCAGCACCGTCCTCTGGACCATGCCAGAAACCATCTTCATGGCCAGGCCTTGGCCTTCCTGAAGGCCCGGATCTCCTCCGGGCCCCGCAGGTACTGCTCAATTTCGCTGTCGGAGATGGGCTCGTCGCCGGTGATGGCAGAGTCCGAAGCACTCGGGGCTGCTGTCCGCAGTCTCTTCCTCGGATTGATAAGGCAGGGCGGCAGCAAGGGCCTTGGGCCGCTCTCATGCTGGCATTTCCCTTCCGAGGGACAGCCTTCCTCCTGCACTGCCCTTTCTGCCACCGGAGGAGAGCTGGGGGAGCCCTCGCCCGGGGCTGCGCCATGCTGCTCCTCCTCATCCTCCATGCAGAAAGCGCTTTTCAACAGGAAAATTCGGTGTTGCAGCAGGTCCCCGATGTGCTTCACCACTGTTTTCTTGTCCATGTTAAACACCCTCAGCCACGCGAGCTGGGAGGCCATTCTCAGGAGGATCTCGAGAAGCTCCTTCAGCCTCAGGTGCGCTGGCGGCGGCAGATCAACACCCGCCAGCTTGCAGAACCGTGCGAAAGTGCAGGTGAGGCGGCGTGACGATGGGAACAGGGTGACGGCCAGTGACCAGCCACGTCTCGCTGGCCAGCTCCACGATCTGCATCGTTCGGGAGACCATCTTTTCCTTGTCCTCCACAAACGGGGCAGGGACGTCGGCCGCGTGCTGGAATAGCCGAAAACTGCAAGAGCGAAGAGCCCATCGTTAGCACCAGGGCACAGGGAAGCCTCACCACGCAGCGCCTCGGTAATCCAGCTCAACGTGGGAGCTGGCTGCGGTAAGGTCCTTCAGCACAAACACACCCTCCTCCTGCGATGGGTTTCTGCTTGTGCTGCACTGCCTGCTCTCCAAACTGAGGAGGAAGGGGCAGGAAGAGAAGAATCACAGCCCAGACCGTGACAAGGGAGGCAAAATGCCATCGCAGTCTGTAAAAACCCCAGCACGCACGTGGGCCATCACCCCCAGCCCATCAGCGAATGCCAGTCCTGCTCCCTCGGCTGGTCACGTCCACCTCCGGGCCACTCTGTTGTACTACGATCGCTGGATGGAGCAAGAACTCAGTGAAATTTGTCATTCAAGGGAAAACAGGCTGCACTCCCAGGTCATGAATTTTGGATGCTGTCGTGCCAGTACTGCCACCCAGCCTAAGGGGATCCCGGTAGATACGCCCCCCCTCAGCACGCAGGGCTGCGAGCTATCCGAGGGAACACTTTTCCAGATGATCTGGTTTTGCCTTAAAGCACTCAGCAACGACACGCCTGTGCTGTCACAGGTCACCCTGTGTGTGCTTGTGGACTTCTGCCCTGGCCACGGCTGCGTTTCGGAAGGTTTTCCACCCAGGGTGTCAAACGCAGGACTCTGAAATGGCTGAAAGGGGCCCCCTTACCTGTTCAGGTGCGTCTTCACCAGATCCCCCAGGCTCAGGGCCGGCACAGAGAGCCCGAGCTCCTTCTGAAGGCTCAGGTAGACGCCGGCAAACAGGTCCTGCTTTGCATAAAGGAGGGAGCAGATCGTCCCCATCGTCAGCGGCCAGTTGTGCTGTCGACAAGTCACAAAGACGCAGCAGCCTCCCAGGAGCTCCTTCTTCTCCAGACTGACCAGGTGGAAGGAGGGGTGCTGCAGAGCTCTCTGGAAGTACGACACCGCCGTTTCCTCAAACACCGTCGGGAGCTGGAGGACTTTACAGAGATCCTGGACCCGCCTGATCCCTGTGAGAAGACACCGCCCTTAAAGATCAGCTCAAGCAGCTTCTGATACACACCTCTCCTCAATATTACACTGCAGCCAGCAATCACCCTGCCCCAGGTGCAAGAGCAGCCCAGCTCCTGCAGCCCCGCAGACAGCGTGCAAAGACCTCCCAAGTCCCTCAGGGCAGGTGAGGCACTTTGCTGAAAGCAGGCGCTGGCTGGAGGCAGAACTAACGGCCTTCATGCTTTACTGCCAGCTCCGAAGGCTTTTACCATTTCAGAGAGCATTAGAAACGTGTTAAACCAACTACAGTAGCAGCAAGAGAGAACTGGGGTGTGAAGGAAACCGAACGGCACGCTCTTACCTCGCTGCAGGCAGCGGCTCAGCTGCGCTTTCTGGCCAGTGCTCTGGGAATACGCCACCTCTGAAAAACAGTCAGTGTTAGGCCAGATGGTCTCACAGTGACTCTGGGGGACAGCGTCATTTAGATTTTGGGCAACCAAATGCCCACGGTACTGGACTTCAATTATCAGAACTGACAGGTCTTTGAGGCCACTAAACAAGAGCTGGTAGCGCAGGTTAAGCAGTAGCGAGGAGCAGGACCCCTTAAAGCCATCACTTCTCTACAAACAGAACGAGCAAACGGCCTCGGGGCTGCTCTGCTACACTTATAAGAGATTTAAATGCCAAAGAGCAGCTCGCCACCGGTTCCAAGCCTAAAATCTGGCAGAGAAGTGCTGTCAGTCTGACCCTATAATGGAAAATCCATGCTGGAATTTTGCTTAGGGAGGGAGGGGGAAAGCGGCTGGGCTAATCCTGGCAGCAGCCAGCATTGCCCTCCTCGCAGAGGCCTTTCTGCCGCCAAGAAACCTGCAGGTGTGCAGGGCGTGGAAGGACAACGGCCCCTGAGCTGACTGAAACGGCTGCTTGGGGAGCGCTTTGCTGCTCAGACCGACTCAGAACGGTCAAAACAAGCTTTTCACAGACAGTTTTGCCCCAGGCCGAATGCAAACGCTCCCGGGACGCTCGCCCCGCGCCCAGCCGTGCCGCTGACCCCGTGTGGCAGAGCCCCGCCGGGCCCAGGCCCGGCCGCACCTCGCAGGTGCTCCTCCTCGGTGTAGGTGGTGGTGAGGAGCCCCTCGGCGAGGACGCAGCCGCAGGCGGCGCGGACCAGCTGGTGCTGGGCG